CTGATGCCAGCTTCTTTCTCCCTCCCCCCTTCTCCAGCCTCCTATGATGAGTTTTACAGCAACCGTAACCTGGATGGTAAGGGCAAGGGTTTGCTGGGGCACCCCAGGGTGCAGCTGCTGGAGGGGTGTCCCCCGGGTGACCCCCCTGCTCTCCCCAGCAGCCGTGGCCAAGGCTGTGCCCTCGGGGCCGGCACTGGAAGGCACCAACGTTGCCATCGCCGTCTTCCTGCCCGTGCTGGTGGTGGCCCTGCTCATCGGTGGCGTTTATCTCTACTTCTCCAAGTGAGTGGCCAGGTGGCCCCGGTCTCCCCCCAGCCCCACGCTGGGGACCACCCAGCCCTGTGACCACCCCAGCTGCCCTGTCCCTGCAGGATCCAGGGGAAGCCAGCCCTGCAGCTGCCCCTCGCCGGCTCCCACCCCTACGACCACATCACCGTGGAGTCGGCTTTTGACAACCCCACCTATGAGACAGGAGTAAGTACTGGCCCCCGTGCCCCCCCAGCCAGGGCTGGGCACCCTAGGAACCCTGCATGGGATGTGTGCCAGAAGCTGAGTGTAGGGTGGGACTAGTGTGGGAGGGGACCATGGACTCCAGGGACCATGCACAGGATGGGACAGAGAGTCACAGTATCATTAAGGTTGGAAGAGACCTTCAAGATCATCCAGTCCAAGCATAATCCCACTACCACAACCACTAAATTTAGTTCCCTCAGCCTCTCTTCATACATTGTGTCCTGCAAACCCCTCACCAGCCTCGTTGTTCTTCTCTGGACACGCTCCAGGGCCTCAATGTCTTTCTTACACTGTGGCACCCAGAAGTGAAGATAGAATTCAAACCTCACCAGGGTGGAGCACAGGGGCACAATCACTTCCCTACTCCTGCCGGACACACAGTTTTTGATACAGGCCAGGATGCCATTGGCCTTCTTGGCCACCTGGGCACACTGCTGGCTCATGTTCAGCCAGCTGCCCACCAGTGCTCCCAGATCCTGGCTGCTTTCCAGAAAAAGGCAGAACAGATCCCACACTTGATCTTAGCCAAAAGGCTGAGGAGGAGGCCACCTAGGGACCGCGCTCAGGATCAGACACCCACCCAGGGACCACGCAGGGATGGAACACCCCTCCCCAGGGCTGCCTGTGCTCTAGGATGTCCCCCAGGTCCTTACTGGACGGCAGCTGCCCCTTCCCCGTCCAGGGCACCCTACGGCACCGCTGAGTGTCC